CCCCCAGCCCGCGGGAGCGGAGGGAGCGCGCGAGGCTTGCCTACCCGGTCGGGCGCGCGGGGGCGCGAGAGGGCGCTCCGGGATGTGGGGACGCCCGGGCGGGGTCTGTGTATCCTCGCACCTTCCACCCGGCGCTTCCCGGGTGGCGCCCGTTAGCTTGGGTAATGCGGTTTCGGTTTCCTCGGAAGGGCGGCACTCTTTTCACTTAACCCTTCTCTACTCTGGTTCAGTCCCTGGTTTTGGCGATCCGTCTGCCTTTAGAGGGGTTGGCATTTCCCGCGTCTGAATTTAGCCACAGCACAAGAACTACACTTCTTTGAAGGCGGTTGGAATAATTAGAAACCCAGAGAGCGGAAAATTCAGTACCTCACGTTCGTTCCCATTAAGTATCCATACAGTACAGGGTAGCGTAATGAGTCAGGAAAAGAACTGTAAAAGTTGATTTTCTAATCAATGAAACGGTCTTCCCTGGCTCCCTAATCTGCATATGCAGGGACGGTTCTCAACAAGGAAACCGTGGGATTAGAAAACAGGGAATTCCCTTTGGATTGCCATTTTACTTTGGTATCAGCGTACTTCGGCTTGTACGTACTGTTTAAAAATGTAACTTTTCAAAGTCGGTTTGGAAAAATTCGATGTACCTAAAGTAGTAGGTGTTTTGTCGCGGATAGAGGGGGTTCGGGTAATGATATAGGGAAATAATAAACACTACAATTGCCGTGAGGCTCAGAGCAGTGTGACTAGCACTTAAATGCATGTGCCTGTCATCCCAAAGATTTATTATGAAACCATTTAAGCACTTGCTAGTCCAGTCCTCAGGCTGGCATTGCCGTTAGCACTTTAACTGTCTCATCAACTTTCCCAGGCATAGCCATCCACTCCATCAGTTCCAAAGGGAGGTATATAAAAATTTCACCACCACCACCAAAAATTCCTTACAAGGTGAGTGTTACCATTAATGTCCTGATGGCATTACCAATGCCCTGGCACTCTGGGGTCCCATTAAACATGTTCACAAGGCGTTTTGGTCATTTTGTGCCCAAACTTCATCCTGCTCACTTCCTTTCTTATCAACATTTCTATCTTTTGTCTCCTTTTTTTTAAGACTCTTCCATTTTTATGTGTTCATATGCTTAAAACGTCCTGCCTTTCTTCTTTTTCCCGGAAATGTCTTTAGCCCCATCTCATGCAAGCAGCTGACACAGATAAGGGCAAACTAGATTTCTCCACTCCACAGATTTTTGCTTAAAAAACACACACACAACTTATCTGTTGTTTACAACATGTACACCCAAGGAGGGAAAACCCTGAAAACAAAATTCTTTCTCCAAAGTGTGGGCATGGAGGTGCTTTGCACACAACCGCCCCCCAACCATGCACTAAAGCTACCACTCACTGAAGTCTGAAGCTGTTTTTCACTTCCAAAGTGATTTGAAGTTTTTATAGGACATGTATATTGCTTGAGGCATTTTACCTCTGCTAAATGTAACATCTGGTCAGTTTTGCTTTTTATACTTAGCAGCATCCGAGTTAAGACTCCATGGGGTATGGTTTTATAGTTTATCTCACTTGGCTTTCTTTGAGCTATACTAGTAAAAACATCATTCAATTGTGTTAGTTAAAAACACATTTACATGATGAATTTTGCACCCTTTACTTAAGCTGTTAGGCTGTTTGATGTTCTGCACCGAGGGAACACGCATCTTGGCAAGTTTAAGAGCAGCTCAGTTCTTATGGAGTGTGTGGAGTTTATGGCCAGATCACCAGTAAGACCCTCTTGCACAGAGACCTCTCACACTGACTGATATCAAAGTCCCTGAAATTCCACCATTCACTCCTTTTAATCTCTTCTGTAGCAATTTTATGTTATTTATTTATTTTGCGGTACGCGGGCCTCATTGTTGTGGCCTCTCCCGCCGCGGAGCACAGGCTCAGGATGCGCAGGCCCAGCGGCCATGGCTCACGGGCCCAGCCGCTCCGTGGCATGTGAGACCCTCCTGGACCGGGGCACGAACCCACATCCCCTGCATCGGCAGGCGGGCTCTCAACCACTGCGCCACCAGGGAAGCCCATCTTCTATAGCAATTTTAAAGTGCTGCTATCAAGGAGAGCTAACATACAGGTCTCAAACTGATAATTCAGAATTCATTGTTTTAACCTTTGAACTTGAGAATCTAAAGCTTTCCATTGGACAGTCAGGGATCAGAAGAGTAAGAACTACGGATATCTGACTAGAGGAAGAGCTTCTAGGAGAGAGAAAGGAGTAAACGTGCTGTTGTCTGTGATGATTTCACACTTCTGCCCAGGGCCAAACAGCTTACAGGAGTGACTCTGGAGTCCCAGAAACATGAGGAAATGTAGGGTTTTGTGAACTAGAAAAGCAAGTGTTAAGAAGTCCCCAAAATGGATAACTAATGAGAACCTGCTGTATAAAAAAAAATTAAATTAAAAAAAAAAGCCAACCTGTATAGGCAGCATCCCGTGGAACATTCTGAGGGGAGAGAGACAGAAAGTGACGGAGAGACAGAGAGGAGAAAGACAGAGAGAGACAGAGAGACAAAGAATCAGCATCAGGGTATCATTTCCAAGGAAGGATTGATTACTCAGGTAAACACAGAAATACCCTTTCTATGATAAAAAAAAAAAAAAAAAAAAAAGTCCCCAAAATGCAACTGCATCATTTCTAGTTTTCAACAAAAACACCCATTTTCTTCAGAAGCCAAGTCACTATTGCAACTTTAGCATACAGCAAGCTTTGCAGACTTCATGGCCTGTTGTCAGTGTAATAGGTTTTTTGCTATTCCTCAAATTTAAAGCTAAGTGATAACTTAAGTCTGTTAGGCTAAAAGGTCTTGTTTTGTATAAGAAAGCAAAATATGTGACTTTGGAGATTTAGGCATAAGGACAGAGGAAGGTGAAGCAATTGCAGATTCCAAGAATATTCCAGACCACAGCTATGACACTGCCTCACAAGGTTGAGCATGAAAGATACATCAACCTATTTTACTCACATTCCACCTCGTGTTAACACAGATGTTTGAAGAATAATTCTTGATTGCCTGGTGGGGAGAGAAGTTTGTTCCTAGCAAGCCTGATCTTTATTTTCCCCACAAATCAAGGCTGAGGGCTTGCAATTACACACAGCAGTAACCAAAAGCCAGGCTGGAGCTTCGATCCCTTAAGAAGGTATGGTCCTGGTAGGGTTGGGGGTCACCTGACTTTTCTGGTTTCTAGCCAGAAAGACTGGAAATGGCTCTCAATTTGGCTGCAGCTTGGAAAGGGATGGTAAGAGAATTAATTTATACGATTAGGCAGAAAGTGGAGACTGATGAAGAGATTTAATATTACTTCACTACTGCCACCCCCTTAATGGTTTTCTCTTTTATTGTTTGTTATTATCTGAGGCCAAGACCCTGGTTTAGAGATAAGCAACACCCCTGGATCCTCCTCTGACAATGTTGCACTTTCTTCTACTCACTGGTGGCAATAATTTTAACTCTATTCAGCATAGCAGTCATCAAACTGAAAAACTTTTTTCATAACTCTGAAAAATTCTGAGTCTAAAATATGTCTGATCCCAATCGTTTTGGATAAAGGATCATACATAGATCAGAATATAAAAACCAAATACATTTTACAAAATAACATTTTCTGTCATATGTCCCCCCCTTCTCTCTCTCTCTCTCTCTCTCTCTCTCTCTCTATATATATATATATATATATATATATATATATATATTTAATGCTGGTTGTAATCCATTAATTTTTTCATTCACAGTTTGAGAACCTCTGTCCTAGATGTCATTAGCCCTTCGGTGTTCAATTGGAGTCAATGTTTCTAGCTCCTTGAGGGGGTCTGAAAAGTGTTAGTGCCAAGAGTTTACTGTCATTTTGAGGATAAGGGTTTTAAAAGCTACCCTTTAAGTTTGAAGCATCTGACATATTGAAGTTACAATTCAGCCTTCAAAGGAACAAAAACATTTGGGAATGTTATTATAGGTGTCTTTCA